CCAAATGTTTCTTACATTTTTCCATTATTATCTGAATTCAGTGTCTAAGTGATAGAGAGCTGTGCAGATTGTAAAGCCCCTTGAGGCAATTTTGTGATTTATGATATTGGGTGATATATATATGTATATATGTATATGTATATGTATATGTATGTATGTATAAATATATTTATATATATATAAATGTACTTGACTAACTATAAAGGAGATAATAATAGAATACCGTTCTAGAATCTAGACTAAACTTTTAGCTTATGACTATCAACTAAACAAGTCTAGACTGATTTAATTCAAACTAAGGCCGTGACTCAAAACTGAACTATTTCCTACTGCTTGATGATTACTAGCTATAATCTAAACTAATATTCACCAACTGAACTTTTGAGTATCACGTATAAACTAAATATGGACATACACAACAGTACCTACAGTACGTCAAGGTAACCGTCATGCTGTCTGCTGGTTGTGACATCCAAAAGCAGAGCAGATCAGACTGGGAGGTACTCAGAGGAAAATAATGTATCCATGAAGTGGATTGCTCTGGTATATGTAACACCTCTCTTTAGTCTTTTGTCACTTTCTAAACTTGTTCCTGATGTCAGCTCCTCTTTTCACCCAAGGGGTGAAAGAGCTAGGATGACTGTGTGTGTGTGAGAGAGAGTTAGAGTGAAAGAGAGAGAGAGGAAGAGGGAAAGAAAGTGAGAGAGATATGATGGTGTGGGAAAATGGTAGTGCCGGGCTAACGGTTTCCTCTGGCCTCAGATGGAAACAGGCATTTGGCCAAATGACTTCATTCCAACCAGCGTTTCACATCCCAGCATCTCTCCTGGCCTGGAGTCACAAAAACACATCATCACTCCACTTACCAAGTACAGTAACTGTGAATAAGCCTTTATACTAACTGACATAGTACTACACTATATACAAGCAACGGGCTGGGAAATAACAAATCTCCATTTTCCTTTTTTTGTGTACTTATTTCCTTCTTTAGCACATTTGTAACATTCCTGATCATTTTATGGTTCCAGGACTAGTTGTTCCCACTCTATTCAAAGTTCTGCAATGTCTGACTCTTGTTCTTTTTGGCGCTATATTGATGATCTACGTGTGAAGATCATTCTACTGTTCTCAAAGGAAATCCTTCTGAAAAAAACTATCCGGTTGTGTTTCAGTTATCAAAAAGACAGGCCTTCAACCAGGTGAACAGATACAATCCTTCTCCACTGTGCTGAAATATTCCCTGTCCCTGTCAGCTCCTCTTGTGCACTATTCTGTAGCTGACCGTGACCTCTCTGTGAAGGGAGGTTAGAGAAAAGGATTGCAATAAGCACCTTTTTATAATTGGTTTTGAAATATATAATAAAATCCAAACCAAATCCTGTTGGGCATTGTCTGACAGGTGATGTGTTTGCTTTTATCTTGTTTATGTGATTGGTAAGTTGAGTTCAGTGCACCTCCAGGGTGCAACAGAGATTAGCCTTGCCCTCAGGTCTGCTGCCAGCCACCCTCAGGGATCACAACATGTATACATACCTGGCTGGAAACAGTCATTCAGTCAGCCATGGCATCCTTCAATGCTGCGGAACCTCTCTGGCTGCCTGCCTGTTTAGAAAGAAGGCAGCAGTCCAAGTCCTGCCTGCCCCGGCATACACACACCAGCCCGCCTTTTTATTTTTAAACCAGATGTGTTTTTACTGGGTACAGTTTAGATTCCCCCGACGCTACAAATATGCACTGGGCTGTTCAGACTCCGGGTTGCCAGTTTTCAGTGGGGGGATCGGGTCTTCACTTGTTGGCTGACTGACTGGTTTGCAGGCCTGCTAACTGGCTAGAACACTTGTTTGATTGTGTATGGTTGGCTGTCACATTGTGGTTTGTAATGAACAAAACATTCTTACCTCTTCACCTCTACTGATCTCACTTTAAGTCCAACCCTACTTTTTCCTTCATCCATAGCACTTTCTTCAGGAAAAGTTTGCTATTTTAATTTGCACACAACTCAACTGTTTTCTGGTGATGTTTGTAGCCGAAAAGTCAAAGTTAGGTTAGGTAACTGTCAATCTCAGTGGGTGTTTTGCTGGAGGAAAGAGTCACAAAAATGACTACAATGTAAGTGGAAAGTATCTGTCTACAGTAAGGCTGCGACAGGTTGTTGTTCAGAGACACGAGGTCAAATGTCCTTAAGCAAATCACTGACTTTTGTGGCAGCTTCACGGTTGCTATGCAACTAGCATCACTGAACTGAGTGAGGAGTTATGAGTTGAGAGATGAAGTTAATGCTGTGATTGAAATTGGAATAGCTTCTATTTTCTCCAGACTAATCTCATAATGTCATGTGGTCACCATTGGACCAAATGATAATAATAATATGGCAAAAATAAACATAACACAGAAGTAGATACATAACGTGCACGAAGGTCAGGTACCTTCACACTCCATAGGAGAAGTATCCACTTCATATAATCAGTGTCACAAACACACTCAAGCTGTTCTGGTGGCTCTTGGTGTGTGTAAACAGTCTATTATAACACTTAACTGCCGTTTCCTTTACTGTGGCCTTAATCTGCATTTTAGTCAGGATCCTTTGTTTCTATTTGAAGTTCTGCTGTCACTGCTCTGCTGTAAAGTCGAGCCATGTACCCTTTTGTAATTTGTTGCAACACTGGCAATCATTTAAGTTCTGAGCAGAACCTGTGCATGCATTTATGTGTCTGTGTTTGACTCTGTGTGTGTGTGTGTGTGTACTGGCGCCCTCTGTGACCAGCTAATCTTTCCTCGTCAGCGTGTTTGTTCTCTCTCAGCGGGCTCTGTTTGATATCTGAACACAGCTGTGAGAAAAGAGAAAGCCTGTGTGTACTGTCTGTGCACGCAACTGTGTGTGTGGGATGTTGTCGTGTGCATGTGAGACTTGATGAGTGAAAAAAGAAGCATTCGTGTTTGTAATGTGTGTGTGTGTGCGTGCGTGCAACACTGTTGGCTGATGGATGTACATGTACCTCCCAGTTGGTATGTAACTGCCTGTCACTGTTTGTAGGAATCCAAAAGTGTATGGTCACAGTAGGCACTTTAAAACACACGTGCGGACACACACACACACACACACACACACACCACTCCCAGACCTGGACAACAGAGCTCAGTGTTTTCTGGTCTCAGTAGTGCGCTCTGGGACAGTTCAGGCTAGAAACTGAGCTCAGCCCCCTCACCCCCAAAGCATTCTGGGGTACGGTCGACCTTGCTGGTTGGTTGGGACTCACTTGTGCTCCTCTGTCTTAGGTCTTTTATTTGACCTCCTGTCTCTTTGTTCTCGATTTTCTCAGTAACTGCTGTGTATGTGCTACAGTGTGGTTCTGACTTCTTTTCCACTTTTTATTTGTAGCGGCCTTTGTTTTTGTGACATTGTCTTATAGAGCATAGGTTGGCAATTTTGAATGTGGGAAAGGTGGACTGGAAAAATGCGAACCCTAAATTGAATCAAAAATTTTTATTAAAATTAAAAATACAATTTAAAAAATCAGTTGCAGCCCTGTTTTTACTCCAGTGCTATCTTTCCTCAGCTATTGTTCTCCTTGCTATCTCATTCAGCCAGAAGCATAAATATCTACTTGTATTAGTCTTCTCTTTACCTCACACCAGGAGTAGTCTACTTCTCAGTGTCACATAAACATACTGAACTGTATTAATGAACCAGATGAGAACACACTATAACAGTGTAGTGTGACTGAAACTCAAGAGTTGACTTGATGGCTCATGGTGGAACAGCATCCTTGTTTCATTCCTCTTTCAGATTAAATGTTGTGGCCTATAGGGACCTGTTTATACTATGTCTGGAGGTCCCTTTGTGCAAGTCTTACACAGTCAAGTTTAAAGGGCGTGCTAAAGCCTGTTGATCTAAGCCAGGCTTAACCTGGGTTTACTCGGGTTAAGAGTTAAATGGGAAGAATTAAGGAGGGTAGGAAACGGACTAAAGTAGGAAGAAAGGAAGGAACAAACCATTGAAGGAGAACAAACCATATACATCTTTAAAGGCGGTACCATCTATATTCAATTACAGTAGCTTCAGCTCAGTTCAGAAATCACTTGACCCCTAATAAAAGCCAACCAGACTTTTATAATGAGGGTCCCTGCTGAAGAGCTTGGTCTTGGCAATCTGGCTTTGTTAATGGATTATTAATCTGTTTTTAGTTTACTCAGTTTGTATGAGGGACACATTCAAAATCAAAGCTCATCATCTTTATCTGTGTGTCGTTGATGGAGCTCATTAAAACACAATGAGCTTCTCTGAGTCTCTGTTAGCTTCACATTCAGAGCTGTCAGTCAAATCTGCATAGCTTTGGCCAAACTGTTGAAGCTTTTGTGTTGCCTGCTAAGAGGGGGGGTGTCTCTTATCGGTTTTGTGCTAGAAACCAAGCGTCTCTTGAACACACACACACACACACACACACACACACACAGCACACACACACACACACACCTGCAACCACCCTCACACACTCTCACACACACTTCCACAATTCTCACATCGGCTCACCAACAGCCCACCACACCAGCACACAGCAGCGCAGCACTTGCTCGACCACACTTCACAGCCTCTCAAACATCACACACACAACACACACACACACAGCTGTTGTATAGACATTCAGACCACAGAGGAAGCAGAGCCCCAGCGTTGTGAGTTTTCAGCCAACCACAGATCTCTGTCAGGCACTGTGAGTGTGTTTGAGTTGGTGTCAGTGCGACTGTGACTTCTGAAGGCTGAACACAGACCAAAGTTAGATCTTTCCAAACAGTTCCTCTAGAGATGGAGCTGGAGCATAGCGACGAAATCCGATGAATACTCTTAAGTCTGCTGTTATAAAGAGCGTCTTATCGTCGCCTCCCATCCTGTGTACCGAGCAACATTTCCTAACTGACACGCTGGTCTGCATCATTATTTCTTTGTGGGTGATGATCACATGTTGCTGAGGCTGATTCAGTGTCTTCCTGTTCCTCTGTAGATCCACCGAGACAGAGAGGCGTCGTTCCATCTGCCCTGCAACACTCAGCACTCAGGTAAGAGTTACTCTCTGCCAATCTAACCTTTCTGGTCAGAAAGGGATGTGAATACAAATGGCTGTTTTTTTCATTCAAGAGTATTTATGTGTATTGCTGTAAGCTACACTTGTTTCCCATTACGTGCAGATGTGGGTCATTAATGCATCAATGCTTATGCTGAAGGATGCTGTACATTTTGTCCTATGAAGCCTGTTTGTTTAAAGTGATAGCAAATGGATGACTGGTGACTTTTCAAACAGTCTGGTTGAAGTGACACAAAGCTTCGTTTGAGCTTCAGCCTTTAGACAATACTGTTAAAACATAGCAACATCTGCCATTTTTTCTACTCAAAAGAGGAAATTGATCAGACATCATTTAGCTAGTCTAAAGTGCCAAGACACTGACCAAAGTTAGACTTAGAAGCCAGATACTGGTATTTTTGGAGTAAAGCCACTGATAGTATTGTTGTGTTGATATTTAATATCTTTGGTTATTACAAATAATTTCAAGAATTCAATAATTCACTCTCGAGTAAATTTGGGGTTTTGTCCAAGAGGAACATTTCTGAAACAGCACATAAACCATCATTCTCTAAAACACAGACATATACTATAAACATGATGTCAGTAGTAATTAATGTTAATAGCTAACACAAAGGTGATAACTGTTGTTCGTGTATAACTTTAAGGCTAAACTTGGTCTAAAGTTGTTGGTTAGGTGGTAAATTATAAATTTGACTTCCTTGTGTGCTGTATTGGTAATAGAACTTGACTGAATATTTTCAAACGTTGTGGGAGATTCTCAGAGACTACTAGCTGTGGTGGTGTACTTAAAATATCATATATATAACCAGATTAGGGAAGTTGGCTAAAAGAAGCTTTTGCGTGTATGAATCAATGAGTTAAAGTTTGTGTTGTTTTTGACTCTTTTGGACACAGTTGTTTGTATGTAACAGCATGCAGACAAGGACGTGGATGCATACCACATGCATGGAGATGATGTGATGCATATTTCTGCCAGCTGCGCAGGGTGGTAACAGTTGGTGGTTTTCCACTTGACCCTTTTTGTATTCCAGTTGACCCTGCAGCGTTTTTGGAAGTGACCAACTGAGCTAATTAACATTAGTGACGTGGTGTTTCAGAGAAACAGCAAGATTCAACACTGTTGAAACCTGGTGGTAAGAGAGTGCTGTTGGCTCAGCAGCAGTGTGTTAAGCTAACCACAGGTTATTCATAGTTAAACATGTCAAGACAGTTTCTTTGCTTTTTATGTGTCTTACAAGTGTCTTTTCTTCACCCTGGTTTAATTTAAGTTTGTGTCTGTGTTATCTTTTGTAAGTGTAAATGTGTTCATTTTTCAACAAGACTAAGACTATATCCAAGCTAGCAGCTCTCACGTCGCTATTGTTCGCTTACCTGTCATTGCAAAAAACTGTTGATTGTTGCCGTTGCAGCTGTGGACATATTTCAGTCAGTATATGGGGAATGAGAAATCTTAATCTGAAAAATGTTAGATGTTGACTTACAGTATATATGTACGTAGCAAGATAAGAAAAGAAGGATTGTTTGACCTCCATAAGATGAGTCTGTCTGCTGAGAGACCAGTCTCAATAAAGAAGACCAACAGATCGATGAGCTGGATCAGGCTGAGGACAAACTGCCTTTTATCTGTGGTGGAAAACAGATGAAACATCAGTCTGTCAGATAGGGAAAGAGAGAAAAGGGGTTTTAAAGGATGAGATGAAGACATTCAGAGGGAAAGAAAGAAATCACAAAGATGGAAAGAGTAATAATAATGATAAAGAAAGAAAAAGAAAAGTGTCAAACAAATAAAATGGAAGTGTGGGATTCCCTTTATAGCAGCTGAGACAAGTCGACCTCACTTTGTTTTTGGTAGAAATATCTATCTCTCTCACTCACTAAACTCATCCAACTTCTGGTTATTTATTTATTCAGGTTAGCAATGGACGATAGCAACAGCAGCCACCATACGCTCATACCAGCTCAACAGAATGAACTACAAAGCCAAATACCTGCAAAACTAATGGCATTCACATCAGCCTCACTTGTACTTTGTGTTGTGATGGTGAGCATAATAAACACAATACCTGCTCAGCATCAGCATGTTAGCATTGTCATTGTGAGCATTTTAGCATGCTAACATTAGCATTAGATCAAAACGCTGCTGTGTCTAAGTACAGCCTCACAGAGCTGCTATGGCTGTAGGCTTTGTCTTATTATCATGTAAGGAATAGTATATCAGTGAGTGAGGGACTGATTACACACATGGCTCAAAACTCAGAGGACTCCAATACTTGGTTATGGAATAGAATAAAATCTACATGATAATTGTGATTTGTAAACCAGACTGGTTTGTCAGTGCCAAAGGTCAGTGTAAATGGGTTGACAAAGGAAAGTTGGCTTGCATAACCAGCCAGGTCAATGTCAGGGTTGAGACCTCAGAGATAATCTGCTCTGTTGAGGGTTACAAGTATGAGTCAGTGTGTAACAATATTGTGTGGCCAGTTCCTTCTTGGATTTTTATATGTATATGTCAAAATCAAAATCCTTCTAAAATTAAGTGCTGTATTGTACAAAGTTTGGACTTACAAAGCTATATAAAGCTAATAAAATGTATAAAGATAGATACAAATCTATGAGCTCACAAAGAAACACCAAAGCTTGTTCATGTGTACAGATGCTGTGTGTTGTCTGTGGTGTACGATTGACCTGGATCTGGATCCCATAATATGGCTGGTTAATGTGTTTTTGTAAGGCCACAGTTTGGTAGCTTGCCTGGCTGCCTGTGGTTTGCTAGCCTATGTTGAGAGTCATACTGCTGCTTTAAAGTGTTGTTTGTAATGTTGCATGATATTGCATTTATCATGGGGGAAGCCGAGTCCTGTTTAGCTCTACTCAATTTACTAACCCTTATTTATATAGGAGGAGACACGCTGGGTGTGCCTTGAAAAATAATACGGTGAAAAGGAAAAAAACAAAGATATAGGAGTAAATGGTGGTTGTTACATGAATCAAAGTGAAGGTTTAAATTACAGTTTGGTTAAGTAGTGTACTCTCTCAAACGTGTGCAAGGATGACAGCAGAGGACATACTTTTGTTTTAGTAGAAAAATGGGAGGCTATAGGTCTGCTGTATTTCAGCAGAACTTTTCATTATACGTTTAAGTTGTGTGAACATTTTTGGTTTAATTTTGTGTGTTGTTCAAACTAGAGCATTAAACAACAGATGGTAGGGTGGTAGCTGATCATGAGCTGATTCAGTTTAAATAGTTACAACAACCACACAGCACACCAGGTTGCTCTGCTTGGTGCTGCACACTTCAGCCTCATTTCCACTGCACGGTGCGGCTCGACTCGACTTGTCTCACTTTGGGTACCAGGTGCTTTACTGGATTTCATTTTCCACTCCAGATAGTACCACCTCAATATAGACGGGGTTCTTAGCTGATGGTCTTAGCGACGGTGCAGGAAATGGCATTTCAGCGGGACACAAACACAAGAGGATGCAGGATGTCCACCACATGCATGTGGTGATTCTAGTGATGATTCTTTCTGACCAGTCGGTGGCTGCAGTGTTTTAAGTGCTCCGCTTGACCGAGGTGATACCACAAAAATATCCACAAATTGTGCTAGTATAAAACCAAAAAAGAGCGGCTTCAGGTGAGCCAAACTGAGCCGAGCCGAGCCGAGCCGAGCAATGAGGCATTTGTGTTGTTCAGACCTCAAAGTGCATCCACTGTGGTTAGTGGTTACCCTTTTTTGTAGTTTGAGTGACTGACTCTAGAGGCTGTTGTCATGCAAACATCTTCTATCTGCAGAAGGTCAGCCCAGTTGCACAAATTTAACAAGTCATGTTCTTAAAAAACAAACAAAAAGAAAATATAAGGTTATTAGGGAAAAAAAATAAGGTATTATCTGTAAGTGCTGATAAAATCTGCACTTAGGGAAAACACTTAAGGTAGCCTCAGTGGTGACTTATCTCTACGAACAGTATGAAAATGTGCAGCGACAGGGAGGCACGATGTATACTTTATCTTGTCGGTTTTTTCTTACCACATTGCTTTAGACTGGATGATTTGTTTGGATCATATCTACTTTAAAGTTTTTCTTATGCCGCATTCATCTACCAACACACATTGTCCCTCCTGAGTTTAGCCTTGCTTCCCTTCTCTTTGATTTTTGTTATACATTCTTAACTGCATTGAAAACCAAATAGTAACTGTTTCAAACATTAGTTGATTGACATGAATAGGTACAGCATTAGCATGGCGTTATATATGTTGTATATGGGTAATATGGTTTTCCCTCTTTTTCTATTGCTTGCTATTGCTTGTATTCTAAAAAATGTAATCTTCTTCTGTGCTGACCCAAAATATGTTGTATGTTAGTCAATGTAATGTCTACAGGTGTGTGAACTGATTCATGTTCAGCCAGCAACCTCAACCACCCACTGACTCATCAGAGGGCTTTACACCTGTTCTGTGTGTGCGTGTGGGTCTGTGTGCGGTTCTGTTTGAAAGAAAGGGAGGAAGACAGCTGTCAAAGCTCACAGTCCCCTGCTAGTTTTGGTGGACAGGTGTGAGGGGGTGGAGTCCGAGAAAAACTCCCAGCATCCACTTCTGTCACCATCACTTACCACTCCCCACACACGCATACTCACACACATTTCACATTTACATTTTGAGACTCCATTCGTGGTGGGCTTAGATATGTGAAGAACAACGGGTAAAATGGTTTTGCATCAATTTCCAAAACCACCTTGGTCAGGGTTAAGCGCTGCTGCAACACTGGGGGTCAAAGGTCAGTGTAGTTTTTGCGTTTGGAGTGTTTTATCTTGAATTTTGTACACTAAGCCTGCTTTTGACGATGTTTTGAGGGGACCTTCTATATAACATATTTACTGTTTAGAATTTTTGCTCAGTGATTATTTGACTGGTAGAAGTGTAGTTCCAGCAATCAAACTTGTGATCTGTCTACTGCAGTGATACCTTTTCCTAAGATCGTGCAATTGCCTGTGTGTGTGTGTGTGTGGTCAGTAGTAGGCAGTCAATCAGTTAGAGGAAGTCTCTGACTGTGCCTCCTGTTTGCTCGTTTGTTGTTGCAGGGTAACAGACTCTTGCTAAAATGAAGGGCTGTGTCACTGACCACTCCCACAGTAACCCTTTGTCCCATCTCCCGACCCCCTGATGGCCCCTTCCTCTGAGCAGCTGACTGTCAGCTTCAGTATTCCTAGAGTATCCATTAACTATAGCCAGGCACAAACTGAATTTAATGTCTGCCATTGAGGCAAACCCACATTCTGTAACACCATTCATTATTAATTGTAGACATTTTCACACAGAATTCAGGTCCTTCTGGGATGAACACTTGCACACATGCACATAAGGGACTTCCTCTTACTCATATGAGCACAGGGAAAATGTTCCTAAGGGATAAAGAATAACTTCCGCTTTTTGAGGCAGAAATAGATGTCAGAAATGATGCAAAATAATAAACTTAGCGAATGATCTCACCCAGTTGTTCTTGGCCTCTGGCTAAAGTAAGCCTACTGTTGTACATCTGTACTGTAGTTGGGTATAGTCTTCCTCTTTTAGTTTGGTCTGGGACTTTATCTGTACATGTCCTTACATGTACAAAACACTGCAGCCCCACAGTGCTGTTGCATAAGCAATGTTATACTGTGTGCAGACTCTAGGGTGGATTACTTGTTTTTCAACGAGGGTGCCTGAAAAAGCATCTCAGATAGTGTGTTTAAACCCAGAAATGGCTCATGGTGGGTTGCTGTTTTATACCTGCTATGGTTAAAGAGCACTGGGATTTGATGAGGAGTACTGAACTAGGATCTTAAGCCAAGGGTTCAAAGTGAGAGCAATAGTTTGAAGTTGTTTTTATGTCTTGAACATTTTTAATGTGATTCATTGCTGGCTATGATTCAGGTGGGGAAGTGGTGACTTAAGTACACATCGATGTGGCTTAAGGTTTGCAGACACTGGGCTTGAATCTGGTTGCACGATATCTCTACAGCTACTGACCAAACAACTGTTAACTGAAGTGAAATTACTTTCTAACTTTAAAGCTAATACAAAATACTGCAGAAAGTCTTTTAAGTTTCTGTAAACACGTGTCCAGTTGGCCCCAGGGTGACTAATGGTATATGTGATGCTGCTCTGTAATGAAAGCAGTTTCGCTGTACATCAATAACATTTTCTGTTGTAATTTTCTCTGAGTGAGATTTTAACTTCAGTTCTGGCCTGAGACCTTTTAATCACACAAACAGCAGTTGTTTGCCTTTGCAGTTCAGCACAGACGGCTTTAGTCAGGACAGTCGGCCATTGATCCACCAGGCTTTTCACACCTTCTCAGATTCCCAGAAGTCTTTTCACTGATGTCTAACAGACCTGTTTTATAGGAGGGAATGAAAACAGATTATTTTGGAAACATGGTGCTTTTCAGTAAAACAAGGTAATGCTCTTGTTGAGAAAATGTGAAATTCTATGGAATCTAACTTTAATCAAACTGTACCAAAATGTTTTCCTGATTAAAATGTCAAGATTTCCCCTGGCACCATATTTCTGGTAGCTCCAGTTAAACAGGTTTTCTACTTATCAATGCTGTTTCTCTGTGTTTTCAACTTGTCAAAGTTCATTTTTTAAACATTGCTGTTGTGTCTTTCAGAATCCTCACAGTCTTCAGCGTCTCCCAGTTTGCCCAGTAGAACCAGCAGTGCCACCAGCTGTCCCTCAGCAGCTCACAGAGACTCTGGCAGCGACATAGAAAGCCTGCTGAATGCAGAGCCGGGATATGACACCGTCTTCAGAAAGGTCAGACTCACTGCTGTGTTTTTGTCACACAATCCAACTCATGAAATTCACTGCTGAGGTGTTTATAAAAAATGATCTGAAATTGTAAGCCTGTTTTTAGGTGGAGCAGAGTGCTGGCTCAAATCCATGTACCAAGTGGGAATATTTTGGGGGCAGAAATAAACTAGAACAAAAAATCTAAAATAAAACATTAAATATTAAAAGTGTCAACAAAAAACACAATTCCTATTTATGGCTGTGTTAACCCTGTTGTTACTGAACCAAACTGCAAAACAATGAATAATAACATGGAAATATAATAGAAATGGTATTAAATTTGATTTAAGTGAATTCAGGGTTCAACAACATTCACAAAATCCTCTACTGGCTACTGTCCAAACATCCAGTTCACTCATGCCGAACAGCAAGAATATACTGTTTGCCCCTGCAGCTTGTCCTATAGGGATTATACAGTATATATGAAGCAGCTATTTTGTCAGTCTGAGGTTGGGTTTTTATTTATCAGCAGCCTGAGGCTGAGATGCCAAGCATCTACTAAGCATCTTTTTAAGCCAGCAGCTCTATACTGCTGCTGGGGAAGTGCAAGCTGTGGTCCCTGCTGTCACTAGGCTGATGTTGAAAGTCTGTTTGAAGCCAGGCGCCCTTTGGTTAAAGTTGAAATACTTGTATCTCTCAGTTTTTGCAGCATTGAACACTTGAAACATGCTCATGGTAATGTGAATCGAGTGTCCTTTTTGTTGTAAACAACAATGGAAAAGTCAGTGCGGAGAATATCAGCTGCTTGAGAGTGTACAGTATGACACTGAGGGTTAGGACACTGTAGATAGACAGAGACAGGCAAAATGTACCATGACGTCCACAGGCTTTGATTCCACACAAAGACCAAAGCGGCTAAATTCAACTTCAGTAAGAGAGGATTAATGTCTTCAGTGCTCTCTGAAGGGAAATTGTCTTCTCTTGTGCACAATACAATACTGTACATTTTCTACAAGCTGTAGAACAATTGGTAGAGAACTATTTTATAACTCTACGGTCAAGGAGTTGATCATTACAGCTGAGCATGTGTCATATCCATATGCCCTTGAGCAAGACATTGTTACTTAAAATGCTTATTAATTGTAATGTAAACAGATAAGAACATCATCTGAAAGCCTAATATATATAATAAAGTTAAGAATTCAGCTGACTCATGCTTTATCCTAGCTTTAAAGCTAATGTCACATGACCCATAAGCATACACTGCAGTCACATGCACTCTGAATGTATATACACACACACACACAAACTCATGCATCCTCTCGCTCCCAGAGGAAGTCATGTCCGCAGCATAAAGCAGATCTTTGATTCCCAACTCTCCAACAGAAGAAGCTCTATGCTCGGCTCATAACACTGCAGCTGGCAGCACAATAGGCCCAGCTAAAGCTCACACCTACAAATTAGCTCTAAATGGACTATCCCATACCTGTGTGTGTGTGTGTGTGTGTGTGTGTGTGTGTGTGGTGTGTGTGTGTGGTGGTGTGTGTGGTGTTGTGTGTGTTGTGTGTCGTGTGTGTGTGTTGTGTGTGTAATGCAACTGAGCTCTTTCCCATCAGACCTAGGCAAAAGAGTATTTACCAATATGATTGTTTTGTTGGTGCTATTCACTGCTCATGTTACAGAGCTGTCAGAGAGGTAAGACTGGTCAAGGACAATAAAGGATAGTTGGATACTTCTGGTCTTCTTCACCACCAATATAGCATTTTATCATCTGCAAAGCTGTATGTTAGTTGATGAATATATGTGCATATATACTGCATTTGTCAACTACTAACAACTGTCTTGCTTTGAATCACTAAGACAGTCCTATAACAATCATGAATATACCTTGAAAATACTGTATATAATTTGGAAACATTTTCCTGGGAAAATGTTGTCTTCACAAGGTTGCCATCATTTATTGGTGTTTGTTTTAATGTCAGTGTTGCTACAAAGTGGCTCCGGCTCATTATTCTTAAGCCTTGCCATTTGGTCCTCATTATATCCCATTCCTGTGGGTTAAATAGCTCTCCAGCATTCTCTTAATTCATTGCATGCTTCAGTGAAGAAATGCTGATGGATATACAACGTGATAGTCTAGGTAATTAACAATAATTAATAAGGACATCTATGCTGTTCTATTCTGTCACATAGATTCTTCATCATGTGAAGATAGAATAGTGACATTTGCTTATAGATTTAAAATATTCCCCTGTAGCTGGATGGTTCCGCTTCATGTGCGGCTCTGTGAGCAGAGCAAGGCACTGAGACCGGACTATATGAACTACTTTGCACTCCTTGATTAAATGTGGAATGGAAGTGAAAAAAGCTATTTTCACACAAGTCTAGCCCGAGAAATAATAAATCTACATTTCAGTAGAGTTTGGCATCGAGTTCACTCATTGTTTAATTAATGAAGCTGTTCTTGTGGCTCATGATAAACTATCACTTTTAGGTGCAGTTTCTTTTAGTTTGACCGTACTCAATCGGGACACGATGATGTGCAGTAAGGCATTAAATAATAATATATTTCTTGGATGTCTGCAGAACGATGAACCAGTGACAGGAGGAGACAGTGCCAGCGAGGTTTCCGTCTCCTGTTCCTCCACAGACGACACCACCAGTGTTGGTCCATCCAGTTCTAGTCCCGAGGGCAGTCAGGGCCTGGAATGCAGCTGGAGCCCAGAGGAGGGCATCCAGACTGGGGATACTATCACTGCAGGACTAGACAGTGGTGGTGGAGAGGGAGGAGGAGGAGCAGGAGAAGCTGAAGAAGAGGCCAAAGACAGAGTGACAGAGGTGCTGCGGCGCTCCTGTGTCCTCCGGAGCAGTATCCGCTCCCTGTCGCCTCTTCGCCGTCACAGCTGGGGTCCTGGAAAGAACAACGGAGGAGACGCAGAGATGAACCAGAGGAGGTGAGAATGACATTGTGGATGGAGTTGAACTGATTGTGAGACAGGGCTGTCTCTTTTGTTCTTGACGCTGGTTGCTTCCGGTAGATGTCAGTAGGCCTGATGTGTGCCAATGTCAGTGTTATTAGAGCTTGTTGATGTCACTCCCTCTGTGCCGTGTTGAGCGTTTCCTCCTCCTGCTGCGAGCAGCTGTGTTGCCATTTTGTCTGGTGTTGGTAGGGAGCTACCAAATGTTGTACACACACATATGCATTCACACAAAGACACAAGCCTAAACTCTAACACTTTACGCACAATTGCACACATGCAAGGTGCACTCACCCGTTCACACTCACAGCATCATGTACGGTAGTCATCGGTTAACATGTGCTAGTTCCCACTCGTATTGAGACATCAGCAATGAGGAACACATTAAGAACCCAACCTTGACATCTATTTTGTGTTGTGTGCTAGAACAGCGGCCTGTCACAGACTGACCCGGCCATGATGTTGGAGTGAAAACAGTAAAACAACAACTTTAGATTTCGATCAGCTGCTATTTTTATGATATCCAGGTTGGGCAGAAATATCCATTAAATAGCATAAGCTTTCATCTGTAGTCTTTCTTCACAGCATAACTAATGACAGAAAGAAGAAGTCTTTTAAAGATAAACATGAGGCACCTGGAGCACATAAGAAGCATGGAAAGTGATTAAGACAAAACACTGCTGCTAAACGTGTGTGCTGTGTGAAGCATAAGGACCGTGAAATGTCTGTGACTGTAGAAGTATATTGTACATGTGGAGCGATAGGAAAATGGATGTAATGAGAGTTGATTAGTGAGACTTCCTGCCAGATTTGCCCCCTTCTGCTGTTCAGTCACATTTTAAGTGAATAGTTTGACATTTTGAGAAATATGATTACTTGCTTTCTTGCCAAGAGTCAGATGAGAGGATGGTTTAGCTTAGCGTAAAGATTGGAAAAGGGGCAGCAGCTAGCCTGGTTATGTTCTAGAACAAAATCCACCGGCCCCTGCCTTTAACAATCCCTAATTTACATGATTTATATTCTGTGCAAAAACTGTAAAAATGACAATTTGGGGGTTTTTACACTTTGTTTTTTTAAATTAGTGATATATAGATGTGCTGGTTAGTGGATTTTGTTGCCTATAAACAGAGCCATTCTAGCTGTTTCCAGCCTTTGTGCTAAGGTAAGATAACCATCCCCTGGCTCCAGCTTCATATTTAATGGACAGATATGAGAGCGGCATCAATATAATAATCTAACTGTCTGCAAAAAAAAGCAAATAAGTAGATATCCCTATATATTAATACTATAATATATATAATATAACTATTCCCTTGAAGATCATTGTTCTTTACCAATGCCATTGTTTTTAAACCCCCCCCCCAACATAATGGCACATTACTCAGAGCTTCAACACATACAATAGTGCCCAAAGATATCCAACCTACCAAAAACAATATGATCCCATCAGCCAATAATAGAGGGCATTCATTCATTCATTATGTTATTATTGACCTGCCATCCCCTCATATCCCAACTTATCTCAACCATCATCCATCACTTCCTGTCTGTCTCCTCCATCGCCTCCAGTTCCATCCGTAGTCCTGGTGAGGGGAAGCTGACCTTTCACAGGAGAAGGTACTAATAAATCACATTCATCAGTTCATGTATTGTGAAGATTGACTTGTTCCAAGGTGACGTGCAATGGTAAATTCATGTACAGACATTGTAGCCTTTTTTGATCTGACCACTTTTTAATGTATGCTTGCTGAACTACTGCTGCATTGTGCTCCGTCCCTGCAGGCAACTGCGCAGAAAAATGTTGTTCTCTCTTCACCCGTCAGAATATGCAAGGAATACTGTGGCAAATAGATGGTTGAGACACACTGCTGTTGTATTGCAGTGGTAATAACAAAGCACCCACACAGAAAGAGGGGAGTTTAGCTCTGGAGGCTCAGAGGACTGTATTGGCGAGAGATTGAGAACAGAGGATTTTATTCATTTATTCATTTATTTTTTGGCGTAATAAGTTCCTGTAAGGTATTTTCAAGACTGCAAATGCACCAGAGAAGTTTTGAATTCATCCCTGGAGAACACGGTGTGCCACAGCAGTAAAAACAGGACGGGAGTTGTGTTATGCTGAATTGTGCTAGATGCAAGAGGAAGTAGGCTTCTTCAGTTGGAGCTGATGATAGCGGTCTCTAGTGTAGGGTAGTGTAATCCAGTTTGTTGGGATGGGCTGATTTACTGTAGGCTATGCAGTATATGGTATGACTTCAGTGAAGTCCTGGAGAAGTTTGGGGGTTCCTGATCCAGACCAGAATGACATGATGGAGAGGAGCTTGATGTAGTGTAGACAGCATTAATATTTTCACTGTACTCTGTCAGTGTGTCAGTGGGTTAGTATATTAAATATTTGTACCTGCTTCTTTTGTAACATTTTCATGCACATTCACAGACATAATTACTTTTAATTTGTACTTATAATTATGATCCCTTACATTTTGTTAATGAAGAATTTAGACCATAATGTATCTGTGCTGCAAGTTCTTGTCACTTACCAGGTGACATAATACATTATATGCTGATACAGCTATATGTGTAATTAGCTAATAATGGCCGATAAGATCCCCCCCCATATCTGTCTGGCACTAATTAAGACCCAGACCACTGCTCTAACCATTGGACCACAACTTTCACTTCGAGGAAAGCAGTGCCTGCCACAGGAAGGTCCAGTATGTAGGATTGACATCTAGCAGTGCAGTTGCAAATTACAACTCCTTCGCTTCACCCTCCCCTTCCAAGCACGAAGGAGAAACTACGATGGCTGTGAAACGTTTCTGGGCTTCTGTACAAACGGGCAGACTTGTAGAAGAGGAATCGCTTCTTCTGTAGATAAATAATATATATATATATATATATATATATATATGTATGTATACGTATACTCAGGTGATTTTACACTAATGGAAACATAGTTATGCATAATATGTTCTATTACTGCTAGTAGATCCTCCTTAATTTTACACACTGGACCTTTAATGGTACCTAGGCTATTCTGACAGTATTGCCTTTCTGGGAAACTGCTTGGGTTCAGCAGGAAATTAACTTGCACCCATTTACAGTATTTATGTTTCACAATGTGAAATTGTCTTCTGTATGTAGTCAGAGCACTAGTCTACTTATGTCAGAACATCTCTCTCTTCAGACATCCCTGTAATGGAGTCCTTGTCAAATCCTCCTCTATCTGCCTCGCTCTTACTCTGCTTCACTTGCTTCCCATCACTACTCTTTATTTCCAGCTCCATTCCTCCCCTGACTCATCCCTCTGCCTCACACTCTGTTAGCATCCGCTGGTGCCCTTCCGATGCTCCCCACAGCCACGGTGTGGAAGTAGTTAGTTCCCTCAGGTACAGTGTATTTGTGTGTGTGTGAGCACATGACCTACTTTGAATAGGCGTATTTACATGCTGCTTGATTTGATTTGCCGTTTTTTAAGGGCATGCATGCATGCATGTGTTTCCATGTGTGTACGAATGCCCTGGCAAGTCAATCTGTCAGTCAGTAGCTTCCTACAGCAGAGAGCTGCAACAGCTGCTGGTGTTATTCATGTTTCAGTACTCTGTAGGATAGTATGTAATAACCCTGGTGGGAAGCAGGACTTAATATGACAGATATAGTCATCTGCATTCACAGCCCTGAGGAGGATAGGTGAGTGCTGCTGCACGCTGGTCACTGATAATCACCAAGTCATGATTCTTTTGGTCCACTGTAGGTTAGTAATGTTTGAATGTGTTGGACTGATGATTTGCTGGATAATGGAGTGCCATGCAAAGCCAAGGGCTGGAGATAAGAGAGATTTACTGCTGGAGCTTTAACTATCACAGAGTCTGTCTTGAAGCGAATAGAGCTGCAGCCGCGTAGCATAGCTCATCCTGAAATGTAGCTGTAGTTTTCCTCTCCATAATCATTGTATTGGATTTTTCAAGGCCTCTTATTTCCAGTCATAGATCGATGTAATTGGGTTTGTAAATCACAGCTGCAGAGCTCTCTATGCTGATGCTGATGTTGGAAGTCATTTGACGCTGCTTCAGCTGTAAATCTGCTCCGGAGCCCAGTAATAACTCAGCTGGCTAAACACTGTGCAGGACCAGCTGTGTGTGTGTGTCTGTCAACAGGTGCATGTGTGCGTCTGTGTGTGTGTTTGTGTTCTATGCAGCAATAAGCTGTGTGTAACCTGAAGGCTGTGATGAATAGTCCATAGAGACCAGTGGAGTGTATGTGTTCGGTAGAGTCATTCTTCCTTCTTTGAGGTCACCTGACCTGACTTGTGTTTGTCCAAACAGCTACAGCCTGGAGGGGCTCAGTGGGGGCCAGGAAGAACTGAGGGGCCCCACCATCCGGGGGCCCCGAATCCTGGAGCCTTCAAGGATCCCTCGGCAAGACAGCGATGACAGGGGATCCCTGGTTTCTCTGACAGAGGAGCAGGAGGAGCTGGGCGAGCACAGCAGACTACATGACTTGGTCAGCTAACCAACACACACACACATGCATGCACACACACACACACACACACCATCATGTTTGTCCTTTAGATGTTATGTCTACATACTGTCACTTAGCCCTGAGGAACCCTCAAATACATCCTCAGCCTAATTCTTGTAAAAGAAAGAAATTGCTCGTACATAAACTTAGAAACAGGGGAACTTTGAGACTTATCAGTTTGGGTATTAATTAGAATTGATAAACCTCACTTTCCTCAGGCGGCTTATGTCCGTTCTCATAGAATTAAAACAAGTCATTTGTGTAGTTTCCCTTTTAAGTTTAGCGTTCCTGTTTCCATTTTAGTTACTGGTAATGTTTTTGTTCCACGTTATCTGCCTGCTTTAGTGTACTTTTATACATTGTCATGAACTGTGATTGACTTGTTGTGTGTCATGATGCAGAAATCAAGGCGATATCGGCCTCTGCGAAACAGCTGTCCTCCCATGACCCTGCCCCTCACCAAGTCTGTTTCCATGCTCGCCATCAGCCAGAGAGACATTGATGGTGAGTGACAAGTTGTGATGCTGCCTTTCTGTTTTACTGTCAGTGTTCAATTACCAATCCAGTTCACGGCCAGTATTTGTTACATTGAGCCCCTTAATTAATAGATTTCCCTTCTATTACCCTGCTTTAAATAGCCTATATCCAAATGACCAGTTGAGCATCTGAAAATGAGTGAATAAATCTAGAAGTTCAGATTCACTTCCAAGTGTGGGAGGGAAGGAGCACAGTCATTTTAGGATGTAATGAAAATTTTAATTCTAAATTTGTAACACAAAATATATAGTTAAGTGTGTTTCCTAGAATCACAACCCAACAATGATAAATATAGTAGTAGGTAGGTAGTTGAATACAGAGGTACCCATTTCCACAATTATTTAAAGGCTCTACACACCCATGGTCCACCTACTTATTTGCTTAATGGGTGTGTACAGACTGTGCTGGGTTAACATCTGTCTACCACTCTTTTTAATTCCACACATCCCCCTCACTGTTACTATAAAGTTACTTGATTTTAATAAGTGATCAGTTCCTGCTGTGGTTCTTTCCTTCCTCGCCCGCCAGCAGTCGGACGCCTGAGACGTAAGAGGCGAATTTCCTTCTCTTTCAACCTTTCTCCCATCCTCACCAAATCTAAGTCTGAGTTCATTTATGGGGACTCCTCATCTAGCGATGATGAGGATAACATGAGTAAGTAATAGATAGATAATAGAAAATAGCAATTATGATGTCCAAATCAGAGTAGTGATTCCTGTTAGTGTCCTGGATCTCCCCCTAAGGAGTCAAAGGTGCCATTACTAGACACTATGTGCATAGTAATGGCACAAAAGTTGTGTTTTGATCAAGAAAACACAGTTACACTTAGTTACTCTTAGACAATTCTCAAATTAGCTAACTACCCAAATTGTTGTATTCATGTCGTGATCTGTAACCTGAAGTATAGAAAGATCTTTATGTTGCCCCTCTTGAGGTGTCACATTTTTTTGGGAATCACTCAGATTGATGAAGAAAAGGTCGGCTGGCACTAAATTATGATATTTCATCACACAATACACATAATGGATTATACTGAATATCCTAACAGCCTTAACTTTAGTGCGACCTTTCAGTTTTACAGATTTGTGCTGGGTGAGTGCTGTCTGTTGCATTTACGCTTTTGCATCAACAGTAAGATATGCACTTAAGCCTGAATACAACTAGATGCTGAAGGGCGATCCCAAAGGTCCCAAAGGTTCAGCTGCAACAAACTTTTCGTAAGGAAACCACTAATTACTGCCAATATTAAGCTGCTTGCAGTATGAATGTGCAATTACATTGAGCTTGTAGTGAAGTCATTGGTGTAGAAAACCACCTTCCACATTGGCAGCAAGCGTTAATCATTCCTGTTGACAACATTAAATAAGATCTTGGCTTCTCCTGTCACCCACCCAGCCCAATATTAAGCTGACCTTTACTTAGATTAGTCTTTTTTTTTTTGTCTCTTTGCAAAAAATGAAACACAATCAACATAGAAAGAGGAAAAAGAATAACCATAAACACTGCAGGTGAACTGAGGAAGCCCTTTCTTCCCTGTAGATAAATGTGAGCCTGTCACCTTTAGTTAAAGACACTGAGCATTCCCCTTTCTTATCTGTGAGATATTTCCATTAGTGTACACTGTCTCCTTGGCTGTGTTGCTAGCAACACAGTCAGGCCAAAACTTTGCCCTCATTATACTGTTTTGGGTTTGACTTTGTGATGCAGAGCAGGCAAGCAATGCTTTGCATATCTGAGCCTAGGTCAAAATAATAGGTAGAAATTATTGTTTAGGAGGAAGCAGAGTTGTTCCCTAGAAAAGATGCATGGTTACGTTTAACTGAGCTGAAGTAAATATTCTGTGGTAATTATTTGGCCAAGACTGCAGTGTGTGCTTTGATTACATGGTTTAATTATTGTTATTTATTCATATTATATGCAATCAGATTAAAAATACAACTGGGTCAGACATTCACTGAAAAATACAAACGGTTTGGCAGTTACTGGAGCCAGGACGTTGGATAGGACGATCTAGGTACAACCATCACGGCTTTATGTGAATAGCCAAAATTCAGAATAAATGATTATGTGATTAGGTATTGAGACCATAATGTCTTGCTGGACATTTTTTTTAACTTTGTATTTCAAAATGTTCTGTTTCATGAGGTTGGATGCTTTTTATGGAGCTGCTATCTAACAGCCATTATTGGCACTGGATCTAAAGGCTGTACCTCAGCTTCAGGTTTTGGCCTCAGTGCTGGCTGCTCACATCAGTGCCAGAGTCATTTTGTTTTTGGCTTCTACACAGCTTCCACGAGAGTAGCTAAACGTTAAATACCTTGCTCAAGGACATTGAAGGTAGCTGTTGAAGTACAGGAGGGCATGGATTATTCAATTCTCTGCCCAAATCTTGCAGCCGGGACTGGAACTGACACGCCATTAGGTCAGTGAGGTCATTTATTTACTGTATATGAGGAAAAAAAGCGTGACCTTGTGGTTAGTGTGGTCAACCCCTTAGCAAAGATGTGCCACTGCCTTAAATAGAGGGAGGGAGGAGGATTTCCACCTGAGATAACAAACAGTGAATTAAAAAACAACAACTGCTGTCCTCTTTTTACCAGCTCCTGAATCTTTGTCCTACTGCTCACTTCCTCTCTCGTTTCTTTCCAGGTATGAGATCGTTTTCCAGTGCCTCTGGGTCACTAGCACACAGGTCAGTCCAACTCTGCACATACACATTACAAGGAAATAGTTCTTTGGATTTTTTAACTGCAGCTGGGACCTTTATAGTCCTATAAAGAAACTGTGGAAAGGTTCTTGTAAGCAGTCAAATGGTTCTCCACGGAACATTTATAGTGTTGTAAAGAGGTATTTTCAGAATGTGAGTACAGGTAAGACTTGTAATTGCAGCTGAATGAAGATGAAATTAAATTTGTGTGTGTGTGTGTGTGTGTGTGTGTGTGTGTGTGTGTACCAGTATATCAGAAGAGGAGCCTGGCCCACTGCGGAGCGACACTGAGGGAAAGAGTGTGACAAAAGTCAGCCGGACCTTCAGCTACCTCAAGAACAAGATGTACAAAAAGACCAGGGTGAGGGAACATTGAGTTTTTAATCAGCCTTAATAAAACTGTGGCAATACTTTAGAGGTATTTCACTATATACTGTTTCTCAGAGCAGGGCTTTCATGTGTGCAGTGGTCAAAATTGAGCCTCCTTTCATTGACTTCTTCTCCTTAAACATTTATTCCAGCCTGCCTTTCAGCCCCACTCCACATTAATATGTTTGCACAGAATCACGCTGGGAGCTGCCCTGCGTGTCTTCTTCTGTTGGCCTCGGCACAGGCCCCGGTTGAACAGTTTGGGGTTACGTGTCTTGCTTCAGGGCAAGTCAGTTCCTCCATTCAGATTTAGGTTTGGTTTTGAGCCTGCAACATTTTCTAGTTGCAGACAGAATCTGTGGTGTAAGATGTGGTCAATGTCATCTTTTTTTCTTACACAGAGCCAGGTTGGGTAACTCACCTGCCAGAGGAGTTTCAGTGAGAATATATAATAGTTATTTCTTATTGCATTGTAAGTGATGACAATTCTTGTAATATCTCATTGTCATAGTACCACATTCTTCTCAGCATGGCACTTGCTGAAAGTGACAGACTATATTGTAATATTCATTGGTATGATTTCTAAACACAATTGTCAATATTTGGATTTTAATATCATACTGATAAATAGTTCTATTTGGAATTAAAGGGGCTATATATAGTTACTTAAACTTGTGTTTGTCTGTAACTGTGCAGCGCTTGCATAGAGAAACAGGGGTGAACAGGAAGTAAAACAGGAAGACAGAGTTGGCTGTGGTTTTATAATTGCATCTCTTACCTCAGTCATCACTTTGCTTTTAAAGTGACAGGATTCTTTCTGAAGGAGCACACCACAGCCTGCGCCTTGTCGCTCCATGTAAAAAGTTATTGGGTTGTATATAATATGTGTATGTATTAAGTGACAAAATGTCCAACACAGGAACCACAGTCCTGTCACATACCACATTAAAACCTCTAATTTCTGCTTTGAATTCAACTGGATGAGACTTTCAAAATAGAATTCCCTTCCTATCAAGTACTTATTGAACTTAAAAAATGTCTCCAAAATATCCAAATGTCCTAATTATTTTGTGATAATTGTCAGCTGATCTGTTTTTGGATATACTGTCCACAGACAGTTTCTGTACAATAAAGTCTGAATGTTTTGGAAGAGGATGTAGTTAATGCAGTTTTGACATAGCGTCTGTACCAGGCTGGAGGGTCATTGCAGTAATAAGCACCTCCTGCACCGAGTCAGTCACTTCCTCATTGCTGCTTTCCTGATGGAGCCTCAGTGCTGGTAGTAGCTCCAGCCGCTCAGCCAGAGCCAGGGATGTTATACAGGAGATTCACAGGGAGCCATGGCTTCTCACTGAGATGGAAAGGTGGGCTGGAGGTAGGCTAACAGAGTGCTCTGGTTTCCCAGTCAAATTGTCGTGAAAGAGACTGTCACAATATCATGTTAAACGTGACCGATGTTTCCCTCTGGGCTGATGTCTTTTTCCAGTGAAGTCATTGCCTGTTGCAGTATGTTTCACTAAAATGTCTTTTTGTTTAAATTTCTGGTTTAGATGTCACAAGTAATTACTTCTCCTGTTGTAGCTAAAAGAAATGTGCTGAGAATTGCATTTGCTTCCTTTGTTTTTCCAATAAGTTGAACAGTTTTTGTATTTTTTGGATACATATCTGAAAATGATTCTTAGAAAGGTTACTGTTGTAAAGAATACTTTATTAGGCCCCTAGTTCCAAGAACTTTGTCGATGTGTTTCACCTTTGGTTAGATAGCTGTTGTTGCAGGAAGTGAGAATGAAAGCTCTTAGTGTTGTAATGGCTATAAAACATGCAGGCTTGGTGTGGTCCAGTCAGCCTCACGGTATCTTGAAGCAACTGAACAAAATGAGCTCTAGTATGTCAGAGCTTTGTGGTCCCCTCAAACCAAGAGGCCTAGGGCCGGCCATTAAAAGGAGCTGGAAACTCCATTTTCCCATTTCCTCTGGGTTTGGGTGGAGGCTCTGTGATGTAAATCCAAGAGAATAAGAGCTCTGTTCTTCTCTGCATCACTTTATGGGATTTGTGATTGAGCTCAGTGAACAGAGATGACCAACAGCTGAGGATGACCTCGTCCATGAATGCAGAGGCAGCAGAAAGACCGCCCTGTTATGGAAAGGTCAAAGATTTGATTCCCAGACAGTGTGTCTCCGTCAGTAGTCATTGTGTTTCAGCCCACTGAAGTCCTCCCTGCTCATTCATCATAAGATGGTTTGAGAAAGAGCCTTATAGTAGTTGAAGGAACCACACAATATGTAATATGAAAATTGATTGTCCTTTAGTAGAAATGTCACTGTAATTGGTAACAGTTGTTATATACTGCCAGCATTATTAAGCTCTATCAGTAATCCTGTAAAATATAGCAAATTATCCAAAAAAATGTTGTCTTTAAATGAAGCAAAACAGCAAAGATTGCCTGAAACAAAGATGCACCAAATTTAAAATTGTCTCTTAATGAGACAATTTGTTGTCAGCATAAATAATGCATCACTTAACATGCAAAGCCCCCTGCTGTGTAGTACATCAGAGTAATAATGTTGCTCTGCTGGATTCAGATTAGAATTTAACATAAGCTACTGGCCAAATGCTGAGACATTTTGTCAGTGTTTGGTCAGTTAGTCTACTCTGCAGGTAACCAAGCACGCTCTTATTTTTTCTAAACATCTAATTGACTGAACTCAAAGTGACCCTCCTCTCCTGATCTCCCAGTATGGTTGGGTCTGTGTTCCTAACTATGATAATTCCACCTGTGCAGGAAAAGGAAAGAGAGAAAAAGGAGAAAGAGAAGGAGGGCAAGGAGAAGGACAAGAGAGCAATTAATGGTCATCTATTCACAACGATCAGCTCAGGCCAGGCAATCCAGTGCTCCCAGTGCAATAAGGCTTTCAACAGCAAGGATGCTTACCATTGCACACGTAAGTACCTTTGTTCATTTCTTTTTCTTTTTTGCATTGTTTTTTCATTGTTTGTGACTGATCAGGAGTCATGTTGCTTTAATCAAAGCCCATTAAGGGTTGTGATCCATTATTAAAATAATTTATCTTTCTGTTAATTTATTTCTAATTTGCAAACATGCTAAGCTATCCACACTGCTGGGAACACACAATACTGAATATACTGTAAGAACAACTCCTTAGTGCAAATACATCATCAGGCATGAATCATTCTATTCTTACTGTAAAGGCTCAGTACTTTTACCATATCATTTATAACTGCATACACACATATAATTTAAGACTTTGGTTTGTGGACAAAAAAGCTGTTATTTGGTTTCTTTGTCAACTGATAGAAAATATAGCTTTAAAAGCATTAGCAAACATTATTATTATTAGTATAATGTTGTATAGCGTGTGTTTTGTAATGTCAAAAATGAGGCTCAGCCAAGCAGAACAACTCTCTGGCTGAGGCTGCTTCATGATTTGTTTGAAGTAGTGAAACTCTCTAAAGGGCCATTTCTAATGTAACCCAGTCAAGCTCTCAGTGCAGACAAAAAAACAGTTTTTGCATTGTTTTCCACTGAAGCAGCAGCAGCAGCCCTAAAGAGGATGTAGTTTATTGCACAAGCCTTTGGCGCAACTCCAAAAAAAGCCTAAAAAGGAGAAACCAGCTCTGCGATGGATCACAGCGATCCTCTGAATGGTCACAATCTGCCTCAAATACTTCAGACTGGCAAAAACAGCTCTTGTTGTGTTCAGTTGGTCTGGTTCGGATTGTTGGAGCCACAGACGGTTCGGAGGGTGTTTTTGGGAGGTTTGTACTCGCAGATGTCTGGCCGGTGTCCATTCAACAGACAAATACAGTGATCCTTTGTCTGAGATTAGCTGGAATTGGTTGGACGTCCACAAAAAGCAGTAAAATACCCAATAAAACCATTTAGTAGGAGAAAAACACTGCAGGAATTTAAGCTGGTTTTACTGTGTGGGTCATAATTAGATATATCACATAATCTACTAGGTGGATACTTTAATTCAAATCTCTTTTACAGTAACCCAAGTGTATACACTTGTCACTTAGGTGATAGGTGGAAGTGAAAGTGGAACCTGTACCCTGAAAATGTTACTGCCCTTCGGTACTTGCTGAGTTACACCAGATTGTTTTCACACCCTGACTGAGAGCACAAGCGTGTTGATGTAATCCTAAGAACGGAAATGTTATATGCATGGTGACAAAATCTGATAATGGGTTTGTGAGTTTAACTTGTGCAACATGTCTGTTTAAAACACTTCTGTCTCTTGGACAAAATGTAGTGGAAGCTTGGTGGAGCCTTGTTGTGATGCTAGATTTTGACACAAGCGTTGTTCGTCTCACTCCTTGATCGACCGCTTCAGTTGTTTTTTTTGTATGTACAAATAAACATGACAGCTTTCTGCTTCAAAGTCCACTTTTATGAAATGATTTGACAGTATATAGTACAGCACAGGGGAATTAAAGTCTATGACTGAATAAGATCAGATCACAGAGCAGATATTATTTTAGCAATCTTGAATGATGACCCTTGTTCCATGGTGATTTGGGAATGTTTACATAATTGAAATTTTCCCATGCAATTCAGTGTTTGTGAGTGTGTGTGTGTGTGTGTGTGTGATTCCACAGCCTACCTCTCTTTTTTTCCTCCTTCGTCCACGAGCAGTATTACCCCTCGATTGCATCACATGCTCTGCTGTCTGGCTTTCATTAGTGGGTTGGTGGAGTTTCCTGGCCGGCTATGAAAACCAGTCAGACATTCTAGCCCCCACCTTTCCACACACACACCCTCGACACCCCCACCACGTCTACCATCATGCTCATAGTGTTCACTGTTGCTTTTCTTTCCAGACTGTAATGCTTCCGTCCACAAGGGCTGCAGGGACAGCCTGCCTGTTTGTGCCAAGGTGAAGATGAAGGTAAAGGTTCCCTCAGACTAACTCTGCCACTGGTTTTCTAGTATTCTGTTGTCCTGCAGCCAATATTGATTTGAACTCTGTATTCTCTGTTTCTCTGGCTAGTTGCCCAAACAGCATTTTGCAGTACCAGATTCAAGCTCATTTTCTACAGTCACGATGAGGAACAAATGTGAGTGTCAAACCAAACTTGGATTTCTTACAAATCTTCATTACCAGTTTTTATCTGCTGATTTCATGCCAAAGCACACTGAAACTGTTTTAACGGCTGTTGGGGGATTCCTTGCTTTAGCAATTATTTGGACTAAATGTAACTTAACTAATCTTATTTACTATTTTTTCTTATGTTTTTAGGTCAGTATCAAGATAATTAGATCCTCAAAGGACTAAACAAATTGCCAAGCCTCTTAGGCTGGTCAAACTTTTGAAAATCCATTGGATCATTTCAAAACTGCTGCTATGATGCAAGTTTTTTTTTGTTAAATGAAAATGATGGTATCTGTGGAACTGAATTTAAATCAGTATGTATTCATATGCATACAGGAGTAAAAACATAAATATTTTACACATTGTTAAAATGAGATTATAAGATAAAAAGTAAGAGACATTTTGGGGAGCAAACAAAACCCAACACAGCCAGTATAAAGGTTCCTCAAAAACCCTTTTAGGAACCCTTATGGTTATTGGAGGTTTTACCGGCTACTATTAACTGTACTGTTCTGTGCATATACAGCATTTATAACCTTTATTTAATCAAGCAATTAAAGATCATTGAAGTGATATACTGAGGCAGCTTTTGCAGTAGACACCTTTATCAATAAAAATATAGTTTTCTTCTTGTTGCTCGTGATGACCTGCCTACTTTTGAGATAATACATAGTGGTTGGTATGATATTTATCTCCTGTAATTTTTCTGTCTGTGGTCCAGCTGGTGGGACAAGGGAGCGCCCCTGGTCGGCCATTTTGTCCCCCGAAGACCATTCTTCCCTGATGATCCCATCATCACGGAGACACACCAGCATTATGCCTTTCCATGGCAACAACCTCTCCAAGAGTCTCTCTATAAGCAACATCGCTGGGTAAGCGTGTGTGTTTGTGTGTTTGTGTGTTTGTGTTTGTGTGTGTGTGTATGCAATGATGTGAGGACACTCAGATAGTCACATTTCTATTTCAATGAAGTGTTGTGTTTGTGTTACTATTTAACCTTTGTATTGAAGCCCTTTTTTTCTCTTTGATTTATGTTTTTTGTTAACTTTTTATTTGACCACGGCATTTACAACATGTGTGTCTCAACAGCTTAATGGAGGTTTATGGTTGTAACTGGCTGTGAAAAAAACAATGAATATTTATTTGATTATTCAGTTATATGTCTCTCCATTCAGTCCGGTGTTTGATGAGATGCCCATTAAAGGCCTGCGGTATCTCTCCCAGTCTACTGACTCCCTCAACAGAACCAACCAGGTCACAGAATCCATGGAATCGCTCACTGATGAAGGTCAATACACACACACCTCTAACCTGACAGCTGTCAATCAGCTGGGATCTGAGACTCCTCTGATTGGAAAACTAAGTGAATATCTAACCAAGTTTTAACATAATCTGATATTAAAGTAACAATACAGTAATACAATTCAAAACCTTTCAATGCTTTACAGTGTGAATGAATGGAATAACACAAAATGGCATAGTCAGTGTGAGTGAATATCTCTGGAAATGAATTGATTTAAATGACTTGTTTTATGAAGTGACCTGAATCTCTTTTCTGAAAGGAAAGGTGATCATTCAAAGCTGTGTAATACAAATGAGCTGCTGTTGACAAATGCACATGAGATTCAGATTTTAAGTGCAAGCTGTGTTGTTGGTGAAGGGACAGAGATGATGGACGGGCAGCTGATGGGGGAGTTTGAGGCAGAGTCCAAGGAGCTGGAAGCTGACTCATGGAGTTTAGGTGTGGAGCAGCAGTACCTGCAGCAGTTGGACAAAGAGCTGGTGAAGAGACAGGATGTCATCTACGGTACATTAAATTAACCAAAATATGCTTTTAAATTGAATCTTAAAAAGTCCAGTGTTTCTCCGGTTTTCTCTCATCTAGGTCTCTAGTACTCCTATTCTAATCAAAAACAAAGGAAATCACTTGAAACAACTTGTCAAGTGTGTTGTTATTAGTTTTTCGGTAGCCGCACTTTCCCTCAGCAGGCCTTGATGACTGTCACTTCACTTTGTTTCAGTCTATTGAGGCTACAGATTTACCTCATTTAAATATGCATTGAGATCTTAATGCCTGAGATACTGTGAATCCTGTTTGTTTTGAAAGTCCTAAAGATGTCTCTAGCTTTTGATTAGAATCTACTTTTCAAATACATTTGATTGAAATGATTCTGAAAAGCATATTTCTGTACAGTATGTGTAAATATGTACATATAAATGTATGTCATGAATTCTATGAAACTCTTTATAGACCTCTGAGGTAATTATGTAGATGCATATAAAAACTCCTTCTCATGTCATTCTTTCCCTAAGTCTCACTTCCTTCTATGTCCTTCAGAGCTGATGCAGACAGAAATACATCACATCCGGACATTGCGCATAATGTCAGAAGTCTACAGCAAAGGCCTGCAGAAGGAGGTCCAGCTGGAGCAGCAGACAGTGGAGAAACTGTTCCCCGCTTTAGATGAACTCCTGGAGCTTCACACACAGCACCTCCTCCGCCTCCTGGAGAGGAAGAGGGAGGGCCAGCTGGAATGGGGCAGCTCGGAGGGAGGCTTCATCATTAACAGGATAGGAGATATCCTGGTCAGCCAGGTAAGAGGAGAGAGGGGCTGATGTGATGAGGATGAAGGTCCTAAAACTCCTTTACCACAACATGAATGACATTTGTCCCCTTTGCCTGTGTTGGTAGTGTAGGAGGCCTGGAGGCCAAACTTTGCAAAGAAATTCCATCTGCCTTAGCTGTGCTTTGTGGCTCAGGAGGTAGAGCGGGTTGTCCTCTAATCAGAAGGCTGGTGGTTCAATGCCCAGCTCCTCCTGCTATAGTCCATTAACCATTTACTTTGTGTTTATGGCTGTGTACAGCCTCCCAGAGCTGCTGCTGGCTGTGCACTCTTGTTTCCACTGCAGTCCTTAACTTTGGGGAAAATGTCAGTGGTTTGATTCCTTTGCTATTGCTAGTGTTTTGGTATGCTGCATACACCTCTTATGTAAAGTTACACTTTCTTTGAATTAAATATTGTTATAGAACTCAATATTACCCGCAAATTACTTACTTTTGTAACTTGCTACATTCAGTACAATGTCAGCTTTCTAGCATAGCTTTTGTTTTGGCTTTGTGTACTCATGCCTGTTCTGCTCTAGTTCTCAGGATCCAACGGTGAAAGCATGAAGAGGGTTTACGGAAGATTCTGTAGCCGCCACAACGAAGCCGTGAACTTCTACAAGGACCTTCTGACCAAAGACAAACGCTTCAAGGCTTTTATCAAAGTAAGACTTATATTTCAGCACTGGTTTTGCAGATAAGATTGTTTTTCATTGAATAGATGTCTAACAAACATTGTGTTATGCTACCTAAGTTGTCAACCTTTTTGTTCTGTCATGCTTTTCTTGGTGTTTTTAGTCTTTTGAATGCATGTATTGGAAACACATTGCCATATATACCCATGACAGTTTTTTATTTTTGTTGTTTTTGAAGTGTCAGTACTTATTTTGTCTTTACTGTCTGTGTCATGTCCACAAACACAATGAACACTTTCTTGAGTATTGTTACTGTATTGTTCTACAGCAAATGAGTTTTTAGTGCTTATGTGAAACCATGTCTGGTTTTGAGCCACCTGTTGTGTGGGCATTTTTACTAAAGCACTTGTTGTTTGCTCTTCCAGAAAAAGATGAGTAGCAGCATTGTGCGGAGGCTTGGCATCCCAGAATGCATCTTGCTGGTGACCCAGAGGATAACAAAGTACCCCGTGCTGATTCAGAGAATGTTGCAGCACACTAAAGGTTAGTGTCATGTCAAATTCTGGTCATCTGTGCTTTTAATGTGTGTGCACAATAATGTGAACTGGGGAAACTGGAAGGAGGTTGTTTGTTTTAACTGGGACGACCCTGGAAATAACAGACTATTAGGCCAGGCTAACAAATCAAGAAATAGATTGTAATAACACATTATGATTCATAAGATATTTAGATGCATTATACAAGGCATATGTAGGGAGACTACTTGTTAGTCCCCAATTGTTTTCTTTGATTCTGTGTTATTTTGCTACTTTGTAGTCTCTACTGGTGACTTTCAAATGTGTTTCACACTGTTAAAACCTTGCATAAAATATACAAAACATACAAACCATTCACAATTCAGAACACATTATTTCCAACTGTCAATGAAAATCTAAATAGTGATTGGAAAGCCATAGATTTGAAGAGAGTAAAGGAAAAAATCTTATATTCAATCATAAGTTATTTCTTTAACTTGAAACTCTCTACTATTGGAGTGCGTTAATTATGTCTTGATCTAAAGGATTTGCCCATAAACAAGTGACAGGAAACAAGACAGAATAAGGCCAATCACTGCATTAGTATCAAGAAAATGTTGCTTTATTATTAGAGAATCAAGTTTATTTGGATTTCCATTTTAGATTTTTCTATTTTAAGAAAGTAAAGTTTTTCCAAAATCTATAAAAAGACCAACCTAAAGCATTGTCCAGGCTTAAATCACCTGGGTTGCATGGGTTATCTGAAACAGTATAGCCAAAGTTGCATAAAGAAATAGATTTTCAAAGACAGTGTCCACATTCAAGCAATTATGCTTTTCAGTATGACAGCATATATTCTTGAGCTACATTGATATTTGTCACATCATGAGAATAGACACATTTATTTAAGCATTCTAAAATATAGTGTCATATAGTAGCCCATCAGTTCTTTTTCAGTAGGATTAAATGTAACTTCTTACTATACAGTTCAGCCTACGTCAGTCGTAATACTGCAAAGCAACGCACATTGTAATTTGTTTTAGGTAACTTCCTGAAAAGTTGAATTTCTCACACATGGTTTCATACATTTTAATAAAACTGAAACATATGTCAAACGGGTGTTTTTAGAATAATAGATCAAGCGTACTTTGAGGAGCTGAAATATTTCACACCATATTGGTATCTGATTTAAAGCAGCTCTCGTCAGCTGGCCTCCTACTGTGTACATTCTCTCTAATCCTTCCCCAAAGCCTGTTTATAGTCTATGTGGGATGGGGGAGCTCTGACTTAATCCCCAAGGTGCTTTAAGAAGACTCTCTCCTGCCAACTCTGATATATACTGAGTGGAAATAACACAGCACACTCACAAGTTAGAGATAGTATTTTGCTGCTCAGGAGCATTGAAGTACAACAACCACAGGAGGAAAATATTCCACTTTGGGGAAAAATATTACATTTTCAGTCCAAAACCCAAGTGCTAAATACACAAGATGTATATCAGAGACATATTGACTCTGGGGCTTTTCTCAGTGTGCAGACCTACAGGCCACTGGTGATTTTATTTCTTGCAGTTCTACTCTTCTACTAAAAAAAGCTTTTGAATTCAGTTGATTTGGGAAAGCCAGATAAGCCACATAGCTTAGCATGAGCAGCAATAGTGGCTCAGTAGACTGAGAGAAAAGCTACTACATCTACAGAAATGTTAACTATATTGACATAAATTGACATTGAAGCATTGGAAAATACACTTATTTGCCTTCTTGCAGACAGTAAGAAATGAGAGGAGTGTTGATCTATTTCTCAGCCAAATACGAAGCGACTGCCAGAGGCAGGTTAGCTTAGCACATAGTCTGGAAATAAGTGGAAACAACTGAGGTAACACTTTTTGTATGGATAAAACAAACAAGATGTAACATATTAATTAGTGAGCTTTAGAGGTGCTGCTAAGTGGATTTTATTACCATTGGACAGAGACAGGCTAGCTGTTTCCTCCTGTTTCCAGTATTTGTGCTAAGCAAAGTTAACCACATAGACATACAAGGGTGGTATTAGTCATCTCATGCAACTCTCGACAAAAAAAAAAAAGGTTTGATTTATTTCTCTAAAGAGCTTAAAAACCGATTTTCTCAATAGCTTCTTATACTAAACAATGGGCTCCTACATAAGCACATAGTTGGGTGCGCCAATGTTGGTTAGTAACAGTTTTTATTTTTTCACATGAGAGATGTTTTTTTCTGTACTCTTGAAGCTAATATGAAGTGGGCGGGGGGGCTCAGTTTAACAAATGTTAAGTATTTCTGTGTATCAATCACAGTTAAGCAACATTTGAATCAAAATCTGATGACAGTTGTGAGGTTGTTTGCTTATCTTTCCAGTACTGTCAATCTGATCAAACCATCCCCACACAGTCCGGGTGGGGCAGATTTTTAGCCTTTAATAGTTAATACTGAAGTTTAACTCTGATTGTAGAGAAATATATAACATTTGTCAGTGCAGTCTGATTAAAGAACACCACAGCTCTGATATGCTGATAAGCAACAGAAACAGTAGGTCTGGGTGGCAGTTTTTAGAATGAGTTTGCAGTTTATTTTCATCCATTCTTACATCTTGCTCTCTGACTACCATAATACATTTAGAAATACCAGAAACTGAAGTCAATAACACAGGTAATCATCTTTTTTGCTTTCTTAAGCACATGTATGCTCTACATCCTAAAATCCCATTGAGGTATGTCGAATGACCCTTGTAGAAAAATAAAAGGTGGTTTTTGAACACTTGAAAACATGTGTTCAGAATAACTACTGTAATTAACCTATCAAGCAGAAACTGTTTGGTGAGACAGTGTGGCCGAAGTGTCCATACAAATGACTTGAGCAGACAAGATAAATGGGCAGAACAGTGTATATTTTTGAGATACAATAATCTCGCTAGTAGGAAAGTACCTTTTCTCAAGATGGAGGAGCATTTAAAGTTTTGTGGACCACAAGTTCAAACTCAGAAAAGCTCAGTCTGCTCAGTCAGTGTGCGTTTCAGGTACATATAAGTAGGAACAGAGATTGTGTCAAAATGAAAAAAGCGAAACTCGACACACATGAAAGAAGTTTAGGGGACTTTAGGGAAGTTTGTGTATCCAACTCCACCTACTAAAACCATAAAAAGGCTTGCATTGCTCTCTGCAATGACATTTGCAATAAGAGGTTTGTCAGTGAAATGTAAGCACAGTTAAATGTCAAAATGGGTACAGAAATTTCCCTGCACCTTCTGCTGCGCATAAACACGTCCTCAGTTGTGCCACTCTACCCATCTGGTTCAACTGTGTTAGTTTGGAGCCATTAAATTACCAAATGAACTTTCCTAACAATAATGGCTTTCCCTGAATTTGTGCTTCTGCAGGTTTTACACCTGCATAAAAAAATACTGTGAAATCTTCACTTTTCACATAAAACAAGTGAGACAAATGAATTGTGAGCTTTGATTTCTATCCCATCAGTAATCAAGTGGGGCTAAGTGTTTTATGTTGTGTTTGGAATCTAACCTGAGACCAAACTGCTCCACTGTTGCCTGTCTAACCCTCTCACGTCAAATGTCGTACACAGAAAGCGAGGAAGACTACGACGACCTCACGGACTCTGTTCGGCTTGTGAAGGAGGTGATTGCGGCGGTTGACAGCAAGGTGAACGAGCACGAAAAAAGACGTCGTCTGAAGGAATTTCACGGCCGCATGGACAGCAAGTCCATCATGATGATGAAGAACGGTCAGATTTTCGCCAGGGAGGATCTGCTGAGGAGGAGGCTGATCCACGATGGAGTGCTGCAGCTGAAGAACAGCCAGGGAAGACTAAAGGGTAAGGAGACGCTTTACTGACTGACAGCAAATTCTCTTTCTCTCTGTAAATATGTCAGATTTTGGAAATGTGAAAATATATGAATGTATTTTAACTTTTCACCTATGCAACCACAACTACTTTTCTCCTGGCTGTTCTCCAGATGTCCACGCTCTGCTACTATCAGACGTTTTCGTCTTCCTCCAAGAGAAAGACCAGAAATATGTCTTCGCCATGCTGGTAGGATCCTGCTGTCATTTCCCTCTCTCCTTTTGTCTCATTATGTCTCTCTCCTTTCTCCGCCCTTCCTTCTGTTCCCTCTGTTGTTGCTGCTGTTCCCTCTGTTTTTCCTCCAGTAATAAAGATCTTATGAGCGCTGCCAGATATGTTGTTGTCATATTTTCCTATCCCACTGTTGTTGCTGTTAGCATTAGCTGGCCTGCTTAGCTTTCCCCCTGTGTAATATTGCCTGCCTCTAGCTAGCTATCTAGCTAGCTGCACCTATTAAAGCATTTCTGGCCTTTAGCATCTAACCCAACTGTGATAAATCATATAGGTTTGAGTCGTTTTTTCCATGTTTACAGGACTCACAGTTTCATAGCATGGCACACACACACACACACTAGGGGTAATGAAAACCGAGGCAGGCCTGTGGCATAATAATCACATCCATCATTAAAAACGACTTGGCATGTTTGAGTTGAGATTGTTGACATTGAAAAGAGGAATAACATGTGGTTTTTAATGGATGGCAGCCATGTGAACCAGCTTGAGTTTTGGGCAGAATAAGCTTCAGTTCTGAGGATCAGTAACAGTACAAGCAGCCAGTAGCAATGAGGTCAGAGTTCACTCGGACAGGAAGTATTCCTGTGAAGCTAAATGTGGCTAATATGAGGTTCCAGGAGTCAGAGTTAGCCAAGTCAAGTGGGTATCATCCAGAGTCTTCTTGATACGGATTCCATGTTTTTCCAAAAGATAGTTTCATTTGCTGAGCTGCAGTGAAAGGATAGTAAAATACAGTTCTCACAGAACTTTGGCTCTGGATTTTTCTTCCTATTATTGTTACAAAATAGTCACAGTAGAAAGACAGAGTTAAATAATCTGAACCTTTTCCTTAAACCTCAGACTGCAGGAAAAACGTTGGGATGTGGTTACAATTTCAGAGTTTTACTGGATAGAGGAGAAATGAAAGTGGTTTGTGGTGATAGCGCACTGAACTGTGCTTTACAGTGTTTGTAGCCTTAAGGTGGCAATCTGACACTCTAGAAGTCAGCTGACAGACACGTTGATGATAGCGTTAACCAGAATCTCATTTTACCTTATTCTTTCATTCTATTTATTCTTTTTCATTCTTCACTCATTCCTCTAATAATCCCCTTTTTTCTGGCCTTCTTCACCACACCACATTTCATTCCTTTTCCCTTCCTCCCCCCCTTCCATAATTATCCTTTTCCTCTTCCTCTCCCCCTCCTTCTTCAACCCGCCCGTCTTCCTGCCTTTCCCATCCTATCCCCATCATCAACATTTGTCTTTCCCCCTCCCCCTTTCCTCCTCGACCCTCCCACTGTCATCCTTTTTTTTCATTCTCCTCCCTTGTCGCCTCCATCAATCCCTCCCCTCCTCTCCCTGTAGGACCAGCGCTCCACGGTCATCTCCCTCCAGAAGCTGATCGTGAGGGAGGTCGCAAACGAAGAGCGCGGCCTCTTCCTCATCACGACAGGCATTGAGAAGCCGGAGATGATGGAGGTCCTGGCCGGCACGAAGGACGAGCGCAACACCTGGAGGCAGCTCATCCAGGAAGCCATGCAGTCCATGTAAGTGGGATTCATTTATGTGTTTCTTCGTATTTGAACTTAAAAACGTTTAAATGATTTAATGCTTTTGTAGCCAAAAGACAAGTTTTGCCATTTTTTACTTAAGTTTGACCTCGGCATGTAAGCCCAAACTCAGCCCCTAACCTAACTTGCCCCATTTACTTCAACCCATAACCTCTACTGCAGAGGAGGCCTCTTAGGGTTCACCTGTGGTAAGTCTGTGTTGTAACCCAGGAGTTAGACCCAGCCCGGTTTGCTCGATAGTAATAAACAGTAAGCTGCGACAGAGCACTTTGCTGTCAGGAGGATTAGCACTACTCTACCTGGGGATGGGATGTACTCAGGGACAGTCTAATGCTGGATTGGCTTCAAGGGCAGCTCACTATAAGCAGAGGATTATTCTACTGTAGCCAGCGGGAAGGAGAGAGATTTAGTACTCTCTCTCTTTTTCTTCCTCTCCTGTCTGACTTGTGTCAAAATATAAAATTGAGATCAGGCTATTGGCAGAAATGGAGGAGATTAAAACGGTTTTCCACTGATGTTCTGTCTGTTGTTTCCATCAAAAAAATCCCATACATTGTCTCAGGGTTGTCTAATCCATGTCTAGTGAAAGTTTGTCCTGTGGCGTCGACTGATTGGTTGTAGATGGGACTGAAACTAATGGTTATTTTTCATTCATCCTTATTTAAATAATTGTTCAGTCATTTTTGCTTGATAAATAATGTATTATAATTTACAGGGAGAAGGATGAGGACGAAGGGATTCCCAGTGAGACAGAAGATGACAAGAGACAACTGGAGACTAAAGCCAAGGAGATGAGAGGTTAGAGAAACACATTTAGGGTGTTTGTATGAAAGAAAACAGGGATAGGTTTGCTCCAAATATCACAAAATGTTTTCCTCACTGTCTGTCTCTGTTGGTCAGATCTGTTGAAGCAGAAGGACACAGAGATCATGTCTCTGCTGGAGGAAAAGGTGCGGCTCTTCAGGGGGATGTGGGAAGGCTTGAACGCAGGCGAGGAGGCCTGCCGGCAGGCCGAACCTTTCTTCAGGGCTGCTTGCAGCCTGGAGCCGCCCAGGGGGGCGTCCGTCATGAAGGATGCCCTGCAGGAAGGTAAGACAGAGAGTTGTAATGTGTGTTATGTGCCGTAGATGCATTGCTCATCGAGCATTAACAATCACACAGAATGAACTGTTTTGAATAGAAAGAGAGAGAAGCAGACACACTACCTTATCTCAGTTTTCATACATGTGAAATTATCATTGTGGTAAATTATTATCGCTTTGTTTGTTTTGTTTTCTCACATGGAAGTATGAAATATGTCCAATAGTATGTTACACAACACTACGGCCCTGTCAGATTTCTTCCCCTCAATGTGTGTAATGTTGCCATGGAGCCAGTTAGTTTGCTGTGGGCTACAGCTTTTGCCTTGTTTTTCTTTTTTGGGAAAATTGGCACCATTTACAGTATGCTGAATTGGCTATTAGCAGTTCCTGTTTTCAGTGTACCCATGGATGTGGATACAAATATCGCTGGATTACTTTGGTACTGAAGAAAACTGAAAAACGGGATATTTCTGTGGCAAGCTCTGGAGTTATTAGGAGCAGCTTTTCACTATAATCTCTAAGTGGATTTACTGTTGTTTATTCACAACGGATATTGGAGATAATGAATAAATAATAATATAATAATACTAAAGTCACACTGAATCTGGGGATCATGTCTGATCATGATCATATCTCCATTCCATATTAATTGTCCCAGGAAGCCATGTCAGTGAGCCAACATGCACAATAACAAGACCTTACTGGATCATCATCCACACTGAACAGAGCTATCATTTATTAATGACGCTTGTGATGTGGTTCATGGTATTACAATGTCTGCTGTGAAAAAGACTTATTATTCCACCTTTTTTGAGTTCTGTGTGGAGGGCTTGATGATCACTACCCCTCACACCTAAATAGAAATTGAACTGTACACACTGTGCAGTCTAACTTATTACTAAGTACTAGTCCATTTTTCTCATGTATCCAATTTGTATGTTAATCAAACCTGTTACTAATGAGCACACACTTAATAAGTCACCTTTCCTCCTGAACGGTAATTGGTTTGGTAGTTGGATCTAAACAGAGCCTGAGTAATTGTGTTTTTGGATGATTTAAAGACACTGTACGGGAGACATTAAAGGAATCAATGTGTTTTAGGATTTTTATTCCAGCTCTGTTTGGTGCTATGGCAGCCCTGTTCATCAAATGTGTATGAGAGGAAAGCAGCATGAACTAAGAGAGATACTGCATACTGTGTCAAAGAGAGAATAAAATGTGGAGGAAGACAGTAAAGCACAACACATTCTCTGCACATTAAGTCGACATTAAATTTAAACCAGCAGTTCTGGAATTTTTGTTGACTGAAAAATTTAACTTCTTCAAAAATGTAAGTATTTCAAGAAGAGTCGAGCGTGTCAAAAAGTATTCTTAAGCAATTGTATCTTGTCGAATCATGAAACCTATTATCACTTGTTTCCAGGGCAATTTTATTTTTTTCAATTTATAGTCATATTATGAAAGATTTACTAGACCTACTGGACTAGATAAGAAAATAAGATTTTTAATCAGAAACTCAATTTTTTTTCATTCTTACCATTTCCTGGTTTTTAAGAAAGTAGGAAAAATATTATTGACTGAAAACGATCCAGGATAGCAGTGTAACCTGTTGTCATTTACAGTGCAGTATTATGTAAATATGAAGCACTATTTCTTCATGTATTTGATGTACCAAGAGTTGTGTTGTGGTCTGTGTATTTGCATTCTAGTGGTCAGAGCTGTGAGCTACGTAGGGAAGACTGAGAAGCTATGCACAGATGCAGCAAGCGCTTAATGATTTCAGAGTAGTGCTGCAGGCAAAGAGTGTTCCACAAAAAGGTGTAGTCACAAAATCCCAGGAATTTGTTCTACAGTTTACAGGTTGTGTAACTGACATTAAACTAAGAATTGTTTGCAGCTCTAATGCAAGAGAAATGTATGAAGGAGAACTTCTACAGTGGGTTCACTTTTAAAACTAGCAGGAAAGGTTTAGCTACACTATTAAAGATTGTATTTTTCACCTCCTCCTTCTTAAGCCCGGGGCAATAATTGTCCTTATTTGATATCTGTATTGGCAGCAGTAATGTAATTTCTTCTGCTGGAGGTTATTGTCTTTTACTGTGAATTCACATCCACCAGGAACGGCTTTGTTTTTCCTTAGTTTCACTGAAAAGGTCACAGCGCTGCATGGTCTGTATACATATGTGAATACCAATACTGTATGTGTCTTTCCACAGTTTCCATAATTTCAGATGGTAAAGATATTTAAACTTTCAGCAAAAGAGCTCTGTGGTTCAAACAGGTTGTCAATAGTTGCTTAGCAACAGGAGCCAATACCAGCTTGAAAGCAAAAGTGCCTGGTAGGATTCATGATTGCAGAGCTGAACTGTAACACAGTTAGCCAGGATAATTCACTTACTGACCTGCACATTGATGTTTGCCTCTGTGTGTGTTTGTGTGTGACAGTGGAGACGTTACAGGCACTAGTGAACGGGAGCCTAGGCGGGGCGATGGCCAGCGTCCAGGAGGGAGGAGGCGCGGGGCCGGTATGTTTGCCCCGTCGTGCCGAGACCTTCGGAGGATTCGACAGTCACCAGATGCACAGCAGTAAAAGTGAGTCTGCTGCTACATGTTGTTTTCTATGCAGAAATTTTGCAGACTGTGGTCAACCAGACTTGTTTGAAACCTGTAACCATCAAACACACTGAACCCTGACCTGCTGAAGCGAATAACTGCATCGACTCAATGACTTGACTGCAAATGTGCAGTGACACTGCTGAAAGCCCAGTTCCCGTTTCAAAAGTAAAATATTTCACCCGAAAACTGATTTTTAGGGTCACATAACAGCAGGCACCACATCCAGCACTTCCCACAATGCCCCTGTTCAGTGCAGTTAGATAAAACATTTTAGACGAGGAATTGGACAGCAAAGCCAATGCCTCCTGAGGGGAATGTGGCCTGGGGCGATGCCTCTGAACTGGTAGCTTGCGAAGAACTGATGTGGAAAAATGGCACTACAGTACGTTTTTATCAGTGTGATGTTTTTAAGAGTATGCCTCTTTATTTTGTTAAAAAACCAAACATAGACACAAATATTAATTTCAGAGGCATTTTGTCAGAATTATATAAACTAATATTAGAGACTGTGTGAGTCAACTGAAGCACATACTGTCAGTTGAAATCTGGTTAAAAAGGAGTTCTCAGGGGGTGAATTGATTTGTGTGAGCAGAGGAGAAAGGAAATGGTAGGTATTCGAAATATGAAAAATAAATGAACACAAAAACAAGCATAGTTTTCATATGCATTAAGTATATTTATCAACAAAATCAGAACTAAATCTTAGGGCATTTAACCATCATGTACTTTAAAGACCTAAAAATAAGCAAGCAATTACTGCTGCAGCCAGTTCCAGTGATTCATTGGACCAGGGAAACACTGCCGACTCTAAGCAGTTGATGAACACAACATTGGTCACTGCAGGGATCAAATGTTAAGGCTGTAATATTGAGCTGATTCATACATTTAAATAATAAATAAATACATTCAATTATTTGTCAATTAATGGATTAATCAACAGAAAATTAAATGGCAACTCATTTTATACTGGATTCATATTTTATTTTTTTATAAGGCCTTCAGTTCTATGTACCTCCCATATTCTTTCAACCACTGATATAGAACCTGTTTCATTACTTTTAATACTGATCATTGTTCATCATGCACATTTTGTTGCACACCTATGGATTGTGGTGGACACCTGTTGACAGACTCTCAACTATGTGTGGAAAAATGCAGAACAGAAAAGACTACTTGACCCAACTGTTACACCATCAGTAAAATGTGATCGCCTTGCATTAGACATTAAAACGTTTTTTTCAACATGTGACAATATTTAAAGATGCTAAATGTTCCATATCATTGTGGCTCTGTTCTCATACTCTCAGTAGACGTGAGTGTGGATTTTTTGCTGCCTGCTTCATGTTTTGTCTCCTGTGGTTTCCCTTTATATCAGGTGGAGACAGAGACGAGAGCGAGGATACAGCAGGAGATCTGCGCAGGACGGAGTCCGACAGCGTTTTAAAGAAGGTCGGCATCTCAGCAGCCAATTATTCTTTACTCTGAAGCAGCTACACCCCCACGCCTCAATGAGAACCTCAGGCCATGCGTGGGGTGCATTTGTCCTCCAACATTAACAATACCATTAAGATGAATTTAGCCGCTTCTCTCCCTCCAGTGAATTAGCCTCTTGACTCTTCCTTCCAGGTCCTGTTGCTAATGGCGACCATCAGTTGTATAAGAATTCAATAGTGAATGAAAATGAATGGGCCGCCTTTAGGTGCTGCTATTGTAGCTCTGCACTGGATTCTAGCCTTTGTAGTCATATATTCTGCACATATCCAGCAGCTGGACTGTTTCTTGAATGTTTAGTAGAGGCAAGCTACTGTGATAAGCTGTTAGAAGTCAGAATGATCATAAAAGATACAATGCACAGTTAATTCAAGCATTAAATTTTCTATTATATTAGTTTATGGTATTTGTAAATGTAGAATACATTTTTAGAGATGTTTAACCCATCATCACTTAAATGCAGCTGCGAGACTGCTGTGTTACTGTATCAGTTTACATAATATACATAATCATATCCAGATACAATTAGATTTTTACAGCACACCCACGCTATAATCACATTCACACAGCCATATATACTGCAGTGTATGCATGCTCACATGCACGTACTGTACACACACAATGACACGCTAGAGAATGTGTGTATGTGGGTGCATGACTGTGTTCTAGCTATACAGTACTTAGTGTGTGTTTTTGTTTGCGTGCAGGGAGGAAACGCCAACCTGCTGCTACTGCTGAAGAAGAACAGTGAGGTAACACTGACTTCCTGTCTCTAACTCAGTTAGAGCTGCTGTTTACATGGAAACCGTCAAAACTCTGTGTTACCATCATTGTTATCAGCATCAATAACCGTATACGCTGAAACAGCACTAACAGCAGCAGCTGTAGTTGTACTGAAGATGTTTGTATTAGTGGTATTGGATGTTAGTTATATTATTTAATAAAATCATGCCTATAAGAGCAAGCTTTGAGAAGAATTTCTAATGAATAACAAGATGAATTATGCATGAGAATAGAGCAAGCATCCCAAGCAGCGCAAGTACATTAGCAGTAAAACTTACCAACATAGAAAAATAAAGATTAAAACTCACATTAATGCCACAGAAATATTCTAAAGGCCTCCTATAACATACGGTGAATTGTCAAAACAACACAACCTGCTAACCTGCTCACAATTATGCTAATAATTTTTATATTTAGCTGGTATAATGTTCACCATATTAATCATCTTAAACATAAAGTGCAGCTGAGGCTGATGGGAATGTCATCAGTTTTGCAGGCAATTAGTCCTAACCAGTATACTGGACAAACAAATTTAAGCTGATGATGGTGTGATGAAAAGTGATCACCAGAGTTATTATAATTCAACCTCTGGGGACCATGGATGTCTGTACAACATTTTGTGCCAATCCATCTATGTTGAGATATTTCACTAATTGAGTAAAAACTTTGGCTTCCTGGTGTGCTGTGTTAGAAATGCTGTTTCCTGCATTTCCCAGTGAACATTAATTGGCGCATTTTGTGTCTTAGTAAACACTGGTGGCAGCTGATAGCTCAGCGGCCATGTCTCTTTGCCAGTGTTTGAATAGAGAAAAGGTCACATCACTGTAAACTCAAGTCAGTTTAATATTGGTTTTAGTCCACAATTCATATTACATGCATGCAGTCCACCGCTAGCACTTATTAAAAGAAAAAGTCAAAAACATTTGATATAAATCACTGATGCTATCCATGGTGCATTTTAAAGCAAAGTCAAGTGCAGCAATAAGCAAAACAACATCAAAGAGACATTTTTCTCCATGCAACAAGAAAAGAATAGAACAATAACAGGCCATGATGAGTTTACAAGATGCTCAGTGATCTCTCTTTTCCAACAGCAGGTCCTTAACAGTGTCTCCAATCTGCATCTCCTGCTCAGCACTCTGCAGGTAAGATGGTTCCCATGCAATTCATACATCCGCTCCAAATCAGAATCATGAAATGATGCAACTGTGTGAAACTTTTTGCTGTTATTGTGAATGTGAAAACATCACAATGTGAACAGCCATAGAGAGACAGACATATCTGTATCTTTGAGACAATATCTGGAGTGATTCTGACCTAATCTGTCTGTCCTTTGGCTCTGGTTGTTTCCAGGCGGTGGTGGTTCAGCAGGACAGTTTCATAGAGGATCAGAGGCAGGCCCTGAGCGAGCGCTCCTCCTCCTGCACATCCTTATCGCGACCGACCTCGCGGCCCAGCTCGCTGATTGAACAGGAGAAGCAGCGCAGCCTGGAGAAGCAGCGGCAGGAGCTGGCCTCCCTGCAGAGACAGCAGGCAGCTCATGCTGAGGAGAAGAGGAGAAGGGAGAAGGAGTGGGAGCTGAGGGAACATCACCTGACTGAAAGGGAGGGGCTGGTGCACATACAGGTAACAATGAATCATTTTCTACGAGTTCTGTGCATTATTTATGTTTCTAGGCAGCTGTATTTCTCAACCCCTGCCAACAATGGGATGGTTTATACTGTAGTTATTTACCTTGTACAGTATTTTACCTGATTATTTACAATGTAGTATTGAGCATTCATTCAGAGTTTCCTGAAGTAAGTTCCAATTGAACTAAAATTAAAATTTTTGTTAATAACTGCAAATAACTGCTTGTTTGCTAATGTTATGCTACTCTTATATCATTAACCTGCTGCAGTATTTTACAAATGACTTGGCTCAGTTTTCACAACAGTGTTTCAATTTGCTCTTAATGCTAAGAGCCAAACTGACGTACATTGTTACCTTTAAACACAGAATGCTGTAGTACTAGTAGCAGTGGATAGAAAAGGAGGAGAAAGAAAAGTGATATTTTTTTTTGTCTCCTTTCAAAATGTTGATTATATTCAAAGTCTGTTACAAACACTAAATAATTTACCCAACATTGGTGAGCTCTCGACTGGTTTGTTTTTCTTTTCATTTTTACTTTTATTGAGATACAGTAGGGAGCTTGCGTTGTAGAAGACAGAATAACTCAAATGTATTTTAGCTTAAAATGCAATTAGTAGGGAGGTAGATAGGTGGAGATAGATGATGTACTGTGCACTTGGATGGGTATCAATAATTAAACAACTAAATCTTGACAGGCCTACAATCAACCAAAAACAACAAGCCAGTTTTATCCTGTACTATCTCATTTATTTATATGAAATAGGAATGTATAACACTGATAACTTTTCTTCAAAGGGTTTTCTGTCTTCTAGAAAACAAATCGTTTTTATTCATTCGGCCTCAGATAATGGAGCTCAGACTTGTAATATTAATCTACACGATGATGGACTAACCTCCTTTTCAGTTTCTGAAAACACAACATATCTTTGTGCTGTAACGTTTCAATAAATCCATCAATGCACCTCCCAACCACTGCAGGAGGAAGAGGTCCTGAAGCAGCACAAGGAGCTGGAGGAACAGAAGCGTGAGCTGCAGAGTAAGAAGGAAGAGTACCAGAAAGACCTGGAGAGGCTGAGAGACGCCCAGAGGAAGCTGGAGAGGGACAGAGAGAGTGTGCAACGGCAGCTCGAAAAGATGCAGGAGGTCCGTGTAGCTGAGGTGAGCGGGGACACTTTAAAAATCATAAAATGATGATAACATGATCTGTTGCTCCTCGGCTACAGGGGAACACTCAATGAGCTCAGAGGCAGCTTGTGCTCAATGACACTTCAGCAGGCTTGGTGTTTATGGATTCTTGCATTGTAAGCTTGAACGTGGGTCCTCTTGAAAGAGAATTCCAAAAAGCTCTTGGCAACATAATAACCAGCAAACAGTGCTGCATCCTAATCCAAACGGCAGAGTCATATTTGCAGCTTTTTATGCCAAAAACCTGTATATGTTAAGTCCATTTTACACCATGGAACCCTTTCTTGGAAACATTTATGCTCATCTTTTATTCACAATAAGCTGCAAAGCCATTCAAATATGGACCTTTCATACATATTGGCTCACAGATGTAAATAACAGCTGCACATGTTTCTTACCTCCCTCCTATACCTCCAGAGGACTCCCTCTACAACGTCAGATGAATTCCAGTTCCCCGGCAGCTCCCAGTCTCTGGAGCTGGACCCGCTGGAGCTCTCCTCTTCCTCTTCCTCTTCTCTGCCGAGACTGCAGCCCCAGCGGTCTAAGCCTAAAGGAAAAGGCCTCAATCCCTTTACCTCATCCTCCACCAACCTCAAGGGCAGCGACGCCAACAGCCAGATCTCAAAGAGCCTGCTGCAGCTGGCCAAGAACAAGAGCAAAGAGGGGAAGGAAAAGAAGAAGAAGAAGGGCAAAGGAGGGAGCGCACAGACTGCAGGTAGGGAATGGTGAAGATGGATGGATTTATATTTTAGTTCAATCATTCAGTGAGTCAGCAGGTCTGAATTGAGTGTTATTATCAAGGGTACTTCAGATTAGATGACATTTGGTTTTAGAAAGATAAAAAGTGATTGGAAGACATTGTTGGACAGAAAAATAGATGAATAAACCAAGCCATAAGCCGTTTTACAAAAACGACTAATTTAACCATGTTTAAGCGAAAAATTTCAAGATTTGACAGTGTTCCCTGTGCAGTGCATGCTGGGTAGACTAACCCATTATAGTTATAGGATCAGACATGAACATTGAACAGAGATACGTATTTAGGGGCACTCAGCGTCTCCCAGGGTTGTTCCCAGTCATACCAGCCAAAACATGATGAGTGGCAACAAAATGTTACAAAGATGTTGCCTATAAAAACATTTGAATATGGATAATACTGTAGAAATTCAGTAATTCTAATTATTGGAATGTAAAGACCTAGCATACTCAGCGAAAACAAATGTACATAATTATTCAGCTGATAGTGAAGCAGTATGAGCACATTATGCCTCATTCACACATCTTAATGGTTTACATGCGGATTAAGTTCGGATCCATGCAAGTGTGGGCAAGAATCCCAAAGAAAGTTTCATGTGTTATTTCATGACAGAACATATAAAAATATGTTATTTTCAATAAACCACCTGTATTAAATCCACATGAGACACAGTGGTACTGTGTGAAATGAAGCTGAATGAAGCTGACCCTCATCTTCAACGCTTTCACGAGTTAGGCTTGTCCTGGGTGTTCAGTCTGGTGACGTATTTTAAAGAAATGTTGCTTTGCAAGTTCCAGCTTGCATCATACCGCCTCTCTATCTTCTCTGTCTCCTTCATCTTGTAGTGACTGCAGCCACAGTCCACTGTGCTGTACTTTTCCCCCCGAGCAGGTCACTCATTGTAATGTGCTGCAGTCTCTGCTGGGTCCTAGCATCAGCCATTTTCATGTCCTGTGGGTCTTAGAGTCTGTATACAGTTAGTACTATATACTAGTCTTTATAGTATAACATTTATGTATTGAGTATACAAACAATCAACATACTTGCATACCATTTTATGCTAACAGGAAATAACAAAACAACAGATGAATGCCAGTTCAACGTGTGTCCATCAACATCATAAACAAAAATCAAGGGTTTTTTGGTATGCATAGTTACTTTTTTTTTGTCACTCTGAGCACTCTACATACTTGAAACCTGCTTAGTATGTGCTAAGAATTTGGGACACAGCTTAGATTTTGTCTTTGCATTATTAAATTATTAGAAAAGTTTTTTAGGGGGAGTTTAAACAGCCTTAAGTTGGTGTGGAGATGCCTCTGGGTTGGTTCTGAAAAA